GTTTTACGTGATGTTTCTTTTTCTGTTTTTCTTTGAAAAAGTTTGAAACAGAAATAATTCCTCGTCATAAATTACTTTGTTTTTATGCGTAAAAAAAAAACATTTAAAAAAAAAAAAAAAAAAAACCAAAAAAGAACTTCGAAATGCGCGTTAACTCGCTTAAATTTGTATCTTTCAAATGGGATATATATTTAGTTCATTAAAATAAATTAAAAATTATGTCCGGACTTATACTGCTGGTGTAAATGTTTTTTCTTTTCTCATTTTTTTTTTTTTTCCAGTGTAATCGTTAGAATGCGAATTTTTATAAAATGAAATATGCACTAATGTTATACGAAACATATAAGTATACTACTGTATCACCTAAATAATTATATTGTTTTGTAATTGTATTAAAAAAAAAACTTCAAAGGAAAAAAAGTTGCGTTATTTCGGGGGAGGATATTTAATGGTTGAAAGAATTTTATTTGTTCAACGTGATTCGAACGTCAATTAATTGTAATCACGGTTGTAAATTAATTCGATATAATTTTGACGATATTTTCCAAAATTGAAAGGGTCCTTGTTATTTCAACATTATAATATTATGATATTCGTTTACTGTTCAAATGTAATCCTTTAAATATTTCGAAACAAGGACATATTATATTACTTACAATTAGATCATTTTCATTATTATAGATAAATTTTTAGATCATCTTCATTATTTTTTGTTTGTTTGTTTTTTCGTTTATATGAAAATGAAATATCCAAAGCTGTAATTATCATAGTATCGTTGAAAAACGTATAAAAATTAATTTTAGCTTCATTTTTATTCGCTGTTCAGCATTCGTGGTTAAGTAATGTTTACGAATAAATAATAAATAATGTTTACCCGATATTATATATATATATACTTCTTTATAACTATCTCCAGAGTATTTATAAGTCTGTATAATCTTCTATGATTAGTTGCATTGAGTGATAAACGAACGTACCTACCTTTGCGGTTATTTCAAATTGTTTATTAAAAATAGTTAAAATTAGCATTATTCAATTGTTCATTATCCTTCTCGTAAATAATATTTCTTTTTATTATTATTATTATTGCTAAAGTCAATTATAAAAAGGAATTATGATCATTCTTTATTATATAATCTTACTTGAATGCTTTAATTTTGTTGTTGTTGTTGTTGTTATTTGCTATTGTATCAGATATTATCATAACTATAAATATATATATTAATTTATAACATTGTGTAATATATTTATGTAATACATATATTACCTTACATTGTAAAATGCATTTATCTGATATTAATATTTACATATATTTCAGTTAGTCGAATTTTTATAATCTTATGTTCGTATATCATTTTTTATTTTCTTATTTTTAATTATACGTATATACACGAATATATATATATATATATATATATATATATATATATATATATATATATATATATATATATATATACATATATGCATATGAAATTTATAGTGTAATACGTACGAAACTCTTAGGTTATATTAATAGCTACATTGACGAGCGTAGAGACATTTTAATTACTCTCGGTAATTACCGAATGCGCAAGAACCACCCTCCTCTACCCTAAATAACGATTATATCACATCGAGTTCACTCGAGTTTCGCATAGATTTTATCCATTTGGCATTCGTGCCCTCTTTACACTTCATTTTATCTTGATTTATTTCTATCCTCTAAAACTTTACTATTTTTCTTTATTTTTTGTTGTTGTTACACGATGTAAAAGTGTGAACGTTAGTGTATTATATAATAAGTTACGTTGCAACATACACGATGTGTATAATACAAGTATTCTATAAAATTCTCAGGCAAACTTATTTTTCGTTTAATGATATATTATTTTACCTGTAATCATTATTACGAGTATCATTAACACTATTATAGATCGTTTATATTTTTATATTTAAATTTTCACAATTTGTCGTAGTTTGTTTCACTTTTAGCATGAACTTCCTTTCCTCCCCCCTTATATCTAAGTAATAAAATTTATCAAATATATTTTGATCGTTTTTTTTTTTAAATGACAAATACATATAAGTATTGAAATTCATCTTAATTAAAGTAGGATTTCTTAAAGGATAATAGAGAAAATTGATAAATCGCGTGCATTAAGAATAGTAGGTTTATAAAGTAAGCTTTATATTTCCATACTTTCTCAGTCACCTTCACACAGTTATGGGTGTAACAACGGAGGTTTTCCCTTTCTCTTCTTGTCCTCGTTAATGTGCCCTCGACCTTCTCATAACGACTTAACGTGGCTTCCTTTAGGCTATATCTTTTCTGCATACAACGAAAACAAATCGGTTTTATAGATCTCACACATGTACATATATTTTATTATCTCTTATTTATTTAACTTTTATTTTTCTGTATTTCTTTTCTTTTTTTTTTTTTTTCTAGAGAGAAAGAGTAAAAGAAAAAATAATAATGATAAAAATACAAGAAATAATATGTAAAATATATTTATTTGTTATCTTATATTAATTATATATATATATATATATATATATTAATTAAAAGATAATTATTTTCTTTTTTTTTTTTAAATATACAAGATATGGAAAAAGGTACACATTCAAAGGGAATGTAATATAAAATACATATAGATATTTATTTATTTATATTCAGTTGGTATCATTAAATAAATTTTATTATATTTGTAATAACTTTTTGTTTTTGTATCATATTGGAATTAATTACTTTCCTTAGCTTTTCTCATTTCCTCTCAAACCATTTCACCCACTTTCTTTTCTTAAAATCTGCCTTACTATGTTTAACTCTTATCTGATCTTTCTCACACTTTCTCTCTACTTATATTTATATAATTTTTTCATAATATTAATACTCATTGTTATTATTACTTGAGATGGATTTTTTCTTGTTTTTTTTTTTTTTTACACTATTCTATAGTATTTATTATTGAATCATTCACGTTATTTGAAATTGCATTAGGATGAACAACTTTGTCTAGTTTTTTGTTCCACATTATAAAAATTATATTTATATATATATAGTGTTGTGTAGTATTTATATATAATGCTTGCTGTGGATTATATATATATATATATATGTATGTATCTACATATCTATATATACATACGTAGTGTACGTATATAAATACATACGTTGAGGCACGTTGATTCTGCTAAACTAATTGCAAGACGGTCCCTGGCTGGTTCTCTCAGGCTGCGAATTAATTAATGGCATACAAAATAACTAACGTGTCAGGAAGCTTAAAGGTCATAACCCGCGAATTACTAACATAAGAAATTGCTTAATAGCATAATAGATAATAATATTTTATCTCACCTAATAACTTTTTATCCAAACAAAGTTTGTTTTCTTGTTTCTTTTATTCTATATTGTCATATGGGTATATGAAAATGTATCGTTTTAAATTGTATATATATGTATATATGTAGTATAATTATATATGATATATAGGGTGAGTCTGATACTGATAGAGTGGGTTAATACTTTAAATAATATAATATATCTTAATTGTTTGAAAAAGTATGTCAAATGTTTGCTCGTACGATGCTAAAAATATTTTTTCTTTTCATATATATCATATATATATATATATATATTTTTTTTTTTTTCTTTTTGCAATGATATCTAGATTACCTTCGTTTTCTTTTTTTTTTCTTTTTTAAATGCAAGTCATACAATAATGCACGTTCATTCTAAACAAAATTATACACCTCTCGAATAATTATTATAATATATATATTTTGTCGTTCGATAATTATTATTATTTCAATTTTTAGTTTTAAAATTACTGTTGATAACCAAAAGTTGTTCATAAAATATAAATGATCGATAGTCTATCGTTCGACGTCCAATTTCTAATATCTTTTATTTGCAATTTAAGTTTCATTATTCGATAACAAAACAAAATCAATTAAAAAAAACCCCTTAAAAAAGTAACCAAGAGATCTGGTAACAAAAAATGAGTCCTTAAGAAGAAAACATTTCTTTTTTCCATCCCACCATTTTCCATCACTCTATTTTTGTTGTTGTATATATATGTGTGTGTGTGTGTGTGTTTTTTTTCTACCATTCTTGTTCTTGTTCTAATGTTTGATCGAAGATAGAAAAAGAAAATGACTCACCGACCTGATTCGTCGCGACAAGAAGATTCTAGAAGAATAATAGGGATAGCTGGGGTCGTAAGAAAACTCCAATGGTAGTTCCTTTTTCCCGATATATAAGAATTAATTACGTGCGATTTTCAGTAGGTTGGGTTCACTCGAGATCGTACGCGCGTATGTATGTATTCGATTGGCCAAACGCCAAATGGAATGGCCAGGGAACTTTTCGATTCTTTAACTTTACGATACGATAGGATAGAAATTGGAAAAACACCTTGACGTTGCATTTATCATTTATACCCTTCATTTTCACCCCCCACCCCTCCTACAATCTTGTATTTAACCCCATTTTAACTCCTATTTAACGCGTTACCAACACAACAATAATTCATTATTATTATTATTTCTACAACACCTGTGTATGTATACTTTCTTTTGATTATTATTATTATTGTAATAAAAAGTAGTATAATAAACACGTTATCAAAGATTCCAATGCAACGATAAACGAATATTAAATAATAAATACAAATAATATCAGATTACATTACATATACATATATCTACGATATTGGTTATTCATTATTATTATTATTATTAATAATAATATATATAATCGATAAGAGATTTTATTAATTAACGTTAGACGTAGAAGTATGAGAAAAGGCAAGCTCCTTTGTCGGGTTTTAATACATTATAGTAGAGTATTCTCAAAGAGGTAGTTACATGTTAGAGGTGGTAGTGGAGATGGCCAATGGTGGTGGTGGTGATGGTGGTGGTGGTGGTGGTGGTGGTGGTGGTTGTGTAGTGGTGTAGTGGTGGCGTTAGGATGGCCGGATATTGAAAAATCCGGATATTGTCCGTTATACCTAATTGCAGGATTTCCTGTTTTCCAGGGGCTTCGCCCGTGACCGTGTCGAATAGGTAGAACTTGCAAATTGCAGGTATACCTAGTTAATACTTTAGTGTATACATATACATATATATATATATAAAATATATATATATATATATATATAAATGTTACTTTGTATGCGTTTGTACGTAGTATACATATGGATATCAATATATAGATATGTGTGTGTGTGTGTATATGTGTGTTAGTAATACGCGTGATATCGCGTTGTAAACGGACAGCAACGTAAATGCCCCATCTCCATTTCAAATAAGTGTCTATCTATCTCTATCTCTATCTCTATCTCTCATTTTCCATAAGAGTGAGAGAGAGAGAGAGAGAGAGAGAGAGAGAGAGAGAGAGAGAGAGAGAGAGA